TTACAATCAAGTATCTCTCCCACTGGATGGTCATAAGTTCCTTGAGGGCAGGGATGCTGTAAGCTCTCTCCAGTGCTAAGTACACAGAACCTGAGGTCCACTCAGCACTTGGTAAATGTTCACTGGCTGCAAAAATGAGTAAGACTCCCAGAAAAGGGGCAGGCCACAGAAACACAGGAACCTCTAAATAGCATGCGGTCAAGTCAAAAACAGGGGTAAGCCGTTCTGGGTTTGCTTGCTTCTAATCCAGCAGCAATGGCGCCAAACTGTGGGAGATCCTACCTAATGGGAAACCTTACACCAGCAAATCCCAGAACCAACCCGAGTCACCACCTGGGTCTGTGGTCTCTGCACAGACATCCCAGGGCAAGGAATCACCACTCAAGGGAGAACTGGGAGTGGCAAGGACACAGCAGGTCGTAGATGCTCTGGGACCAATCCCCACAAGGCACGGGGCTGCACAGGGTGGGGAGTGAGAGGTCAGGGTGATCCCGGGATGTGGAGTGGCTTGGATTCCTGCCCCGCTTGCTGCCACAGTCCTGCACCTTATGTCCTTGTTCTAGAAGGAGCAGCTCTGCAAAAGCATCCCAGGTGGTCACTCTCCTGACCTGACCTTCCTTTCCCAAACCCACCTCCGAGAAGGCAGGGTGTCGCCGGATCAATCTCATTAGTTAATGAGTTAGGTTATTGTTTGTTAATTTAAACGTATTGTTATTATCAGGTATATCTCATAAACACTTGATTAGTTAACGCATTCAAATCGAAATAAAAACTTCAATTAAACTGAACATTCACTACTACCATTTAGGGTCTTAAAAAAGAAAAAAAAAGAGAGAGAGAGGGAGAGAGAGAGGAAGAGAAAGAAAGAATTGTCTCCAAGAAGGGCCTCCTACAGGGCAAACTTCTAATTAAACAAATTGTCAATTTCAACACAATGAAAACTGATTTAGGAGTGTAAATTTAGTATTCTAGTCACTGAAAATAAAATCTCACATCGTCGGCCTCGTACAGGCTGATTTCCTCGGATAGGGAAACGCAGAGGACAGGAAGACAACGTGAGAAAGGGGCCAAGCCCAGAAGGAAGAACAAGCAAGCGCATTTCATCCTTTCCTAAATAACATCTCCGCAAAGTCAGTGTGGCCTGTTCTCAAGCAGCGAGAAGCTCTCGTCTTGCCTCCTCCTTCACCCCACCCCTACCAGATTAGAAAAAAAAAAAAAAAAATTAATCGTGTATGATGACAAACTTGGCTCAGCACTCACTGTACACACTGTACCCACAAGGTTGGCTCCCCGCCAGGCCTGGCCCCAAGCCAGAACTACAATAACAAACACAGGCCATGCTAGCCAAGAGGGGGTTGGGGGCAGCCGGCTCGCGAGCAAGGAAGTGTGAGAGGAGCACTGTTCAGCTCGGCCTAGCAGAAGAAAACAGCAGGAATGTACCTGCCCAGGGCAGCAACAACATTTAGGGGAAGCCAGGAGCACCGTGACCCGCACCCAGATCCCAGGCTCACGCCTCCAGGGCCTGCCCCTTTAAAAAAAAAAAAAATGTCTCCACGGTTCTGGGGCTAAACGGCCTGCTGTTTTAGGCTCTATAGGGCCGCTCCAACCCTTGGCGAGAGAGTCTGCAAAGTGGGTCGTCAGCACTGCACACCCTCAGGAGCCCCTCTTGCTGGAGGCTCCTAGGAGAGAGCCTTCAAAACCCAGCAGCAAGAAAATCTCCTGTCATCTAGCCGAGGTCACCTCAAAAACATCCCAGGGTTCTGTTATCGTGCAACTGGCAGAGGAGTCAGAATGTGTAGAACCCTGCTTCTGCCACTGGCCCCCCGAGAGAAGGCCTGGCGCGCCCGGCCCAGCCCTCCAACACCGACCCCCGATCCCCTCCCCCGGGGAGGCCGTCCCAGCTTCTCAGGGGGTGCGAACAGCTCAGGAAGCCGTCTAACCTCTCTAAGCCCTTGTTGCTATTTTCTTTTCAAGACATCCCAGCACAGGGTGAGAGGTATGCGGGACAGCCGAAAGCAGCCACAGAGAATAGAAGTATCAGAGTCTCAGAAGGCTGCGAGCCATCTGCAAAGGCGAATTCAAGCATGATTATGACCCTCACACACCCCCCCCCCGTCACCAAATCTCTTAATCAAGGGTGTTGGCAAGTGCAGTGCAGAGAGCCAAGTCACCCAGCACAATCAGATGTCAGTGCCGAGTAAGAGAGGTACGGAGAGGAGAGCCTGGGGAGACAGGACCCAGCTCTCAAAGCTGCTGGGGGCATTGGGCTGGGACCGTTGGACCACGCAGTGGTATCTCAGCCGGGACGGGAGTGCAGGTCCTCAGGTGGCCACTGGCTGGTGGTGCAAAGCCACTCATCTTGCCTGAACTGGGGGCTCTGGGCCCCCTGCACGTGGGTAAGCAGTGCCTCCCCTCTGTCCCTTCCACTGGCATCACCAGCATGGCCGGGACTGCGCACTCACACTCAACCAATACTGGTGGTGGGGGGAGAGGGGCTCCTGGCTGCCCCCCAGGGAACCTCTGGGAGACAGTCCACACCATTCGTACTGCAGGAGGGACCCAGCAGGAGACTAGAGCTCCCCGACATGCTCCCCCAACTGCTCTCATTCATCTGACCAGTTACCTAGCAACTCCAGCAATGGGCCAGGCAATGTGCCGCTCATAACGGGGACAGACCCTGTCCCCACTTGCTTACAGTCTATCAGAGGAGCTAGGGAGAGGGAAATTCTATATCCGGAGAGCTGATCGGGCATCAGGCCCAGGGCTAAGGGTCCAATGTGAGCCTCACAACGTCTCTGAGAGAGTTAAGAGCTCCCATCTTACAGATGAGGATACAAAAAAGCTTTCATTTCTCGCCCAAGAGCACATGGTGAAGGAGGTAGGTTTCCCAATTTCTATCCCTGACTCCAAGCAGGGGAGATAAGGCAAGTCCATAAATAACCAGAACACAAGGAGGAAAGACTGTGCTCACAGAGCTTCAGATAAAGACATACGGACACCCAGAAGAAGGCATGACGGCTCCGGGCTGAGGGTGGAGGAGGGCATTGCGTAAGGGACCTCAGACAATCTGACAAGACTAGGAAGGGTTATTCCAAGCAGAGGGAATGGGGCGAACAAAGCCACAGAGCTGGGAAAGCAAAAGCTGTGTCCGTCTACACAGAGCGCAAAGCAACAAGTAGCCGAGTCTGGCTAGAGCATTGGATTCAAGGAACGAGGAAGGAGAAAGGGTGCTCCCAGGGCCAAGTTCCGCAGTGGGCAAGGGAGCTTTAACCGCAGGCTGAAAAGTGCATTGCCCGCATGGAAGTGTCCAGCACCACACACAGACCACACAGGGGCCTGCAGCAGGGAGCACATAAACCAAGACCCGCTCTCTGCGCTTGGGGGCCGGCCAAGCTGGCTGGCAGGCGGCTCTGAAACCCCACACCGAACCCCAAACGACCTACAAAACTGAAGGGAAACAAAGAGATACAAGGTGCGTTCTATAAAAATGGAACAAAGGGAGTCCCTGAGTACCAGGCAGATGCTGGACACAGGAGGTCTGGACTCAGGACTGCAGACCAACGTGGGGGAGGTGGGCAGGAAGAGGTGCAGGGGAACAAGGTGTGGGAGTGGGTGACCTTTCAGGGAGGAGGAGTGGAACACAAAGATGTGGGGACAGACTGCACGTGCTGAGACCAGCCGCCACCTCACGGGGCACAGTGCCCGGATCTGGAGGGAGAAGGATGGAAAGCAAGTAGGGGTTAGGGGACTTTAGGAGACACCACGAATGCCAGGGAGAGAGCAGCCCACGCCGTGCAGAGCCACACAGGCTTTGCAGCAAGACCGTGGTGGCATGAAGCACACAAAACACCAAACAGCATTTGCACAACTGTCTGGGCAACGCAAGGACAAACCGCCAGCCAGGTAGAAGCTTCTGGAGTAAAGGGATGGGAACAGGCCTCAGGGTCAGACTTTTGGGAACCGGGGAAAAGGAAGGTGAAGCAGAGGCAGTCAGCATTTACTGACCACCACCTGTATGCCAGGGCATATATGCAGATGCCTGTGACACACATTCTGTCACTGGATTCTTTAGAAAATGGATACAAGCTAGCTAGGCGAGACCTGTACCTCACCAAGGCAGAAAACAGACTTTGGGGGACAGATCCACCCAAGGTCACATGGCATATACTACAGACGAGGTCTGAACACTGGCCTAGCTCCAAAGCCCATGCACGTTCCACAGATGCTGGAAGGTGAGGCGCGGGAGGCCACGTGGGACCAGGACAGCAGAGGTCCACATGTGACCATAAGGAGATGACCCTCACCTCTCCCCCAGAATGTGACTCCAAGGGAGAAAGGCAAGGGAGTCAGAAGGAAGACAGTGCTGGCCCGTAGGGAAGTCTGGAGGCCTCTACAGCTGACCCCAGGCGACCCCCGGCCTCAGAGCAGCACCATGAGACCTGGTGTACAGCCTTCCCTCCACCAAGATCACGCGGGCAGCTGGATGTCAGGTGTGTCCACTTCCCCTGCCTCACGGGGCAGAGCGACTTTGCCCAAATACAGGTGAATCTCCCCGCAGCCACACAGCCGACCCCCCCAGAAATGGATAAAACTCGCCAAAGACAGCATGCCGTAACTAGGTCTGTGTTCCAACTTTTCTCTGTCTATTCAGTCAAAGGCTCCCATATAACGTGACCCCAAGAGTCAGACTCAGGAGCCCGTGAGAACTCGGCACCACCACTGTCGTGCTGACCAAACCATCATCTGCTTTGGAAGGTCCACCGCACCTCGGATGCCCACAAAGCCCTGGGAAACCCACGAGGACACGAGGAGGGGTCGGTGCAGATGGTCACGCCATCAGGATGGGCCCTCTGCTCCGTGAACCTGGGGGGACCATCCACGGGGTGCAGTGACAATGGTCCTGGCTGGCAGCAGGGACATCCGTGCTCTGAGTGGGGGCGAAGGCGGGCCAGACGCAGTTGCCTGCGCCCGAATGGGCCGGTCAGGGCAGCATCGCCTACCTGAATGAGCCAGTAAGTGCATTCTCAGGCGCAAACTATCCAGGAACCGCTTTCCGCAGAGCTCACACCCGTACGTCTTCACGCCACTGTGCAGCTTCCTGTAGGGAAAGGAGAAGAGAGGTTGGGGCTGCTCCGGCCGGCTGGGAGGCAAGCCCACCCGCACCTGGGGGCTCGGCAGCCGCCCCTCCGGCAGGTGAGCAGGAGGGAGGGGAAGCCGGGCACGGCTGCTGCTGACGGGCACTGATGGGGACGTCCCTACACGTGCAGCCAGCCTCGCGCTCCCCTCTTCCTTGGAGGCTGCCAAGAGTCTACTCCTGGGCCTGTCTGAGAGCTAAAGAACAGGGATCTCCCTGCTACGCTGTCCACGGGCACTGAGACCAAGGGAGGAAAGCCAGCTCCGGTTCCAGGCTGAGAAGGAGGCAGCACGGGAGGGTCACCGGTGACCTGGCACTGACCACCCGTGGAGGCCAGCAGGCCTCGGCTTCCCCCGGTCCCATCAGGCCTCGTGGTGCTGCAGCCGCTCACATGTCCAGCTCCCCAGCAACACTGCCAGAACCAGGAGGCCCGCGCCCGTCCCCCTTCTGTCTCATATCCCCGGCTCCCGTGGCAGGGACTGGCACATAGTAAGTTTTGAACCACTATAGAAAGGATTTGCCGGCGTTCTGGACACCTCCAGATGTTCTGAGAGCTGCGGGGAGTCTCCAACATGCACGCCCCTCCCCGGAGGCCCAGCCTCAGTCTTCCCTGTCCTTTTGGCTAGAGGCTGAACCCCGGCACAAAGAGAGAGCGCAAGAAAAGCGGGAACATCATTCTACAAATGTCACGTGGGGCTTTCCGAGTACTGTCACACACCTTATGTCAGTTTACGACACTGCAATTCTGTGAATTGGGTTTGACCCATCGGATCACGCCAGGAAGAAAGCAGTCCTGCTCACTAGTGGCCACAAGCCCAGCCCATGGCGGTACCCTTATCCCAACCCCGACCCGGCCCTTTCCCACCCAGCGGTGGAGCCGGGTCAGGTCAGGGAAGCGGGCAGGCTAGTGGAGAGCTGGGCGCTGGGAAGAAGGCCTGTGTGTGGCAGGACGCCGAGGCTCGGAGCTGCTGGCTGCTGTGTGGGCCATCTGGCCCGGAACGCTGACTTTCCTCCCACCCACTCTCCTGTTCTCAGGCCCTTACTTGCCACTGCCGGATCCAGGATCCACCTCCACCCCCATCTCTGTGCCTTGCCCTGAGGAACGGGGCAGGCCACGGCAGCCAGAGGCAGGAGCTGATGGTGGCAGGACAGGGAGGAGAGCCCATGAGGCTCTCTTAGAGCAACAACCTCTGGCAATCAGACGGTGATAGGTCGAGACCACAGTAGAAGGCTGCAGGGCAGCTGGTAGGGACAATGACAAAACCCGGGGTGTGGAGAGGAGGTACTCTCTATGCAGGCCAACAGCGCCCAGATCTGAGCCTCGGAGCCCAGGTCACCATGAAGACACTGAGTCCCCCATGGCCACCACCTTACAAATCCCGGAATGGGAACCCAGTGGTAAGTCAGAACCACGTGAGCCCCCAGGTGAGCCTCTCAAGTGCCACAGTCCGTGGGCCACCGTGGCCTGAGGGCCGCATGCCGTGTCCACACGCCCCGTCCCTTTCACGGAACTCTTTCTCAATCACGCTGTTTTGTTTGCTCGCTTTCCCTTTACCTCCTTGCCAAAGGCAACAAGTAATTTCTCAATCACACACACACACACACACACACACACACACAAAGAGACACACACGCCTGCATCCCCGACACTGCAGTGCACCCCACCCCCATATTATCTCACTCCTGGCCACAGCTGATCCAACCCAGTTGAGAAATACTAACAGTACAGGACATTTTAACTGAACACCCTTAACTCCAAATAGATTTCACAATGCTGGATTCGGGGACATGTCCTAAGACCATTCTGGGTAATCCATGCTTTGAGACATGCACCCAGGTAACTGCGTTTGTCCTTGTGCATGTCCACATAAGCAGACAGCCTTCCTGTCACTTACCCAGGCATGGCAGATGTCTGCTCTGTGGAACAGCAAAGGCTCACCTCCCAAATGTTTCGGCAGGGGAACCTTTTGTACACGATCATGGTCGGGCATGGTGGATGGCCGTGGATGGGTTTCTACCTCATTCAAGTTCATCTTTTCTTCCCTAGTGATTTCTCAGCTTCCAGGCGAGCCCCTGTCTCAGGGGGCAGCTGACAGGAGGACTAATTAATACCCATTCAGATCTGTTTCCCCAAAGGACGCTGGAGGGACCAGCCTTCCAGTATCAGCAGCCCCCACCAGGATAAGTATCCCCAACCACACCCTTGGACTCTCCATCTCTTCTCCCTGATGGTCCCAGATCAAATCTCTTGATCCAGACCCCGATGAACACTTTCTGGATAGTCCCACTGCCTTCTCTCTGGATGTGAATGGAGTTGCCTGGCAAATGGTAACAGTGGCTTTCCTGGCCCACTGGATCGGTGTGGTGTGAAAGGTGATACACCTTGCCCCTTACTACGGGGGTAAATAGGGTACAGGGAAGAATGCCAGTCGAGCAGCCAGAAGACCCAGATCCTCAGCCTTACTTGTCATTAACTTGTCTTATGACCTTGGACAAATTATGCTGTAATAACCTTCCTGTGTTTTTTCACATATAAAGTGATGTGGATGATTTCTAAGGTTCTGGTCCCTTATGGAACTTAAATTTCATCCCTTTCCCTAGATTCCAAGGAATTCCCCTATGGGGCATGATGATTTTATGAGCCATGTTCCACTGTGTGATGTTCTGTGATGCCAAGGCAGTCAGGCTAGGAGAGCCCAAGCAAAAATAAATACCCAATCGCAGAAACCTCCTCGTTCTAAGGCCTTCAAAGCCAGATGACCTGAGAGCTTCCTCCTTTATTCACTTGTGGTCTTTCAGTCAAAGACACTTTTGGAACCCATCAGTAGCCTTTCTTTGGAACCACTCAGCTGCCACACGTTTTCCAGGCTTCAGAGACACAGATGTCCTATCTTGTCTGATTGTTGGGGTAAGGACACTGCCTTGTGCTTGACCCACTAACTCATTGCCCCACACAGGTTGCAGAGGGGAGCACGGCATCCCCGTGATCCATACACAGTACGAGGACAAAGGTCCTACCCCACTGGCAGAGAGAGGAGGGCAAGGCACACAAAGTTCAGGAGAGGAAAAGGGAGCACTTCACAAGTCTAGGAGTCGAGTAGAGCCCAGCACTGCTTTGCACCTGTCCTCTGTTACCATTCAGAACACCAAGGGATGGATATGGAAAGGTGGACGCTTCCAACTCACAGGAAAAGAAGATGGCGGAGAAGAATCTGAGTGTGTTCAAGAGACTTGGCTGCCAGAAGACTCTCTATGGCTCAGTCGGCAGAAGGACCAGGGAGGGCACCGAATCCCAGATGGCTTCCAAGCAGAAGTGCACATTTGTACGAACTCACGGTCTCTCTGTTCTATAGGCCACAGCCCTTCCCTGCTGCTCCCACGACGTTACGCCACGGATTTTTATTAAAATTCAAATTCTGTCCACCTCCGTCTTCCTGGCCCCACATGCATAATTTCCCAGTCTGGTCTTGTCATTTTGAGAGGTCTAACTGCTCATGGCCATCTGAGGTCACCAGCCCCCCCAGCAGCACAAGGAAGGAGGGCAGCTGGGGACATCTTTGCACCTTTCTGCATACGCCCTTGGTTTTCACACTCCCTTCTCTGAGAAGCAGCAACATTGTTCAACAGCGTCTTGAAAGTAACCCAGTTCCATCATGGCCCAAGAACCCCCATTCTAGACTTCCTGGAGGAGCCATCTGGTCGTCGCCATGCACTCCTGGGGAAGGGGCTCAGGTTCTTGGCCACCGCACACCCACCCCCCTCCACCCCCAGGAAGTGCTGCTATCCCAGCACAGGCTCCCCCATTGGCCCACCGACTAAACCCACAATGAATGTCACAGATTTTTAATTAAGTCCAAAAAGACATAGAAAAAATTAACCTTTAGCAGGTTTCTAGCTATTTTCTCAAGGGAACTGAATCATTATGAGAAATTAGAACAAAGCAAATCTGAACCTTTTACAAGGAACCTGAGAGAAAGACTCATTCCTTCTCACTGGTTCTCAACCACACAACCCTCGCTAGTCAAACCGAGCTAGCAAGATACTCTAAGCCGTCTCCGGGTGCTGGAAGTCTGACAGTTCATAGATTCTGTCTGCTCTGGACTAGAAACTGTATCATGGCAGAAGTCATGCTCATTTCTCCTTTTCCTCATAGGACCTCGATTTAGAAGGGATTGCTCGGGGCTGCTTAAGAAATTCCTCCAGCTAACATAGGGTCCCTCCTCTCATCTTTAATGGTATTTCAAGCCCAAGAGCTTCATGGTCTTGGGCTTGAAACCCAGGGCTGGACTCTTGCCCTGTGGGTCCTGAAATCCTCATGAGGAAGGCCAATGCCTCTTTCACAGCCACACAGCAACTGAGGTTCAACCCAACACCTCATTCTCAAGATGGACCGTCATCTCCCAGCCCAACTCGCACACAACATCAGAAGGAGTGGAGGCCAGGAGAGACCCAAGACATACTCCGTCCTCTTCACCCTCAATCTCCAGACATGGCCAGCCACAACAGGACTCCTTAAGAGCGCCTCCTGTAGCTACTCTCTTCAGGAAAAGCTCAGCCCCTCTCCATCCCGAAGAGGGCCAAGGGGAGAACGCTGGTAGAGTCGGTTCCAGGCCCCAGATCGCCAATGTTCCATTTCTTCCCAAGTTCTTTTTCCCAGAAACAAGAGGAATCAAAGCAGACCAATGGGCAAGGAAGGCTGAGAGGGAATTCAGTTCCCAAAACCCCAGGGCTACACTCTCTCTCTCTCTCTCTCTCTCTCCCTCCCTTTCCTTCTGGGGATCTGCAAGTGCCTGACCCACAAGTTTTGCTGAGCAGATCAGCACTGAGAACTAGGGTCTGTCGATGGGACAAGTGGGCAGAAGGGAACTACCCATCTTTGAAAAATAAAGAGGGGAGTCCATCCTATAAGGGTTTTTATAAGGTTAAGTTTTCCTTATCCTCAACTTAACTGACCCCATGCCCAG